GGCTGGTCTTGGCGCTGGTTCTTCGCTGAATGATATTTTTCCTAGACGAGGTCCCTGATTTTATACCCGACGAGGAGAACATTTCTCCTCCTCCGACTACACAGTATGTGTGGAATGGGAGGGGATTCTAAGAAACGTCTATCGACTCATATTGTCCACTTCATGTAAAGTGAAGGTTAGGCAGGACATGGCTTGAATTGCACTCTAGTAAAAATTTGATACATAAATGCCCACAGTTAAAAGTACCAAATTTTTGGAAACGATTGTAATTATATTTTATATTTTTACCCAAATATCTTATTACTTCTAATGGAGGTTGTAAATTCCCAAAACTATCAAAGTAAAACGAGTGTGTCCCCTTCTTAAAATAGGCTACCCAATGCGTTCCTTCTGATGTCGAGTCTGCTAAATTTATTATTCCACATTCAGAATGATGAGGAAATTTCGGTATTTCATCTTTCATATAAACTCCTCGAAAATGAGGAATATTTTTAAAGGCAAACTTCAATATATCAAAATTCGATAACGCTCTATTAGGTAGCTCATTTAGTAGTTTTTTTGATTCCGTTTTTGTTTGTTGGTATTATTATTTTTTGTAAATGATATACCGTAACCTTTCTTGTATGGATGTAAATACAATCCCTTGCCTAACGCTACCGATTCCATTTTTCTATTATGTCTCTGGTTTTCCTCAAGTTGTGCCTTTGCCATCTTTGCATTGTTAATAGACTTTACAATTGCAGCGCTACCTGATGCTAAACTTCCCACAGCGCTAAGGGCTGTTAAAATAGGTACCAATGGTAAAAAACCACCAATTTTAGGGACTGCTATAACCCGTGGAATTACAACATTTTTCCTACACCCCATAGAGTTAGATACTGCAGAGCGAGCCACTTTTACTGCATTCAATAAGTCAAGAGGTTTATTCTTTCGCAATTCGATTGTTGCCTTTCTGATGATTGAGGCAAGAGTTTTTTTACAACTTTCTTTTCTGCTGCTTTGTTCCCATCCCAAATTTTTTCTTTAGCTTCATCACGTTGCTCACAAAATATGCTGCAGCTCTTTCACTAATGCTGCTATTCAATGCTTTTACACGATCCCGAGCCCTATCAATTAAGATGGAATCTGCTTTATGTCGTTCACTCAAGTCCTTGCTATTTGAATATGCTATGTCGTGTTCCCGACAAGCCTCATCTAAACCATTGATCCCTCGGTCACCACGAAGTAATCGTTTCTCAAGGTTTGTGCCAGGTCCACAGTAATTGTACCCAGGTATATGAGCCTCAAAGGGTAAAGTGTTTATTAAATTATTTATGATACCAGTTCCCTGTTTCACATTTGATTTATGACTGATTATATTATAAAAATGTTTCCCCATTTTATATCAACCTCAATTAACGAATGATTGTCCTCGAATGAAGTACTTATCTTCAAATCATGCGTTTATTAAGACAAAATAAAAGTATCACAGTAAGAAACATTGAAGGTGGTGTGCATGGTGAAATTACTCATCCACGACACAGTTCATTGTTACCAAACACAATTAGAGCTTTAATTGTTGGACCATCCAATTGTGGAAAAACCAATGTGATGATAAGTCTTATCGAAAGTCCAAATGGCTTAAAATTTGAAAATATTTACATATTTTCAAAGAGTTTATATCAACCAAAATATGAGTATTTGGAAAATCTTGTGAAACCAATACGAGGAATGGGATATTATACATTTTCGTCAAATGATAGTGTTTTGTCACCAGAAGAAGCAAAAAACAATTCCATTATGATATTTGATGATGTCGCATCCGAAAAACAAGATAATATTCGAGATTATTTTTGTATGGGACGACATAGGAAGATTGATTCATTCTATTTATCATTCTTGGACGTTGATGCACTAAGTTCAGTACATTCAAGTGGCCCGTATGACACCAGGCACGTGCCTGTTAGGGTTAGGTGTTAGTAGGCGCGATGGAAAATATAGGACAGAATACGAGGAAAATTGAACTACCGGCGTGCTGCCAGATTGTTAGCTTGCATGCTTACTAAGTGTGTTAGTATTAAAGATTTTAATTTAGGAAGGGTATCTACGTTAGAGATTAGTGTGTACAAATCATTATAATTTGCACATAGCACTCTAAAAGGTTCATGCAGTTCAAAGGAGGTCCTACAGTGGCGCAACACTAATGGGATATAGGATCTAGTAGTTCTACATGGTACATGGAAATTAAGCTGACTCAACAAGTCAGCACTTTCCACATCACCATGTATAAGGTTAAAAATAAAGGTTATCCCTAGCATCGTTCTACGATTGGCTAAGGACGGCAAGTTTATTAATAGGAGTCTACTAGAGTAGGAAGGTAATCTTTGGTTTGCATCCCAATTTAAACCGCGTAGAGCGAAAAGTAAAAAGTTCTTTTGAACCGACTCAATGCGTTTACTATGGACGCCGTACTGAGGGCTCCAAACGCAGCATCCATATTCTAGGATAGGACGAACTAAGGAAGTATATAAGGATTTAGTAACATAGGGGTCATTGAATTCCTTCGACCACCGTTTAATAAATCCAAGCACACCCCTGGCTCTATTCACCATAGACGAAATATGATCAATAAAGTCAAGTTTTGGGTCCAAGCGGACGCCCAAATCGTCAACAGAATTAATTCTTTCCAAAGAGCAGCAGTTCAGCGTGTAAGTAGCAAGCTTAGGAACGACACGTGAGAATGTCATTAGCTTGCATTTCGAGTCATTTAAGTTTAATAAGTTTACACGGCACCAAGTTTGAAAATTATTAAGATCTGTTTGTAAATCCGACTGGCAGGCAACGTCATTGTATTGCACGCAAAGCTTGACGTCATCCGCGTACATAAGTACTCTGGAGTTAGTCAAGACTTTGGGCAGGTCATTTATAAATAATGTAAACAATAAGGGTCCCAAATGGCTTCCTTGCGGGACGCCAGATGTAACCCTTAGAACATTGGATAAATTATTCTTAAAGAGGACCTTTTGCGTCCTGCCATTCAAATAACTTGAGATCCAATTAAGAAGATCACTTGGAAAACCCATTGAATCGAGTTTTCTAACGAGGAGAGAATGGTTAACAGAGTCAAAAGCTTTACTGAAATCAGTATAGATTACATCTGTCTGACAATTATTATGGAAGCCCTTTATAATATAGGAAGAGAGCTCCAAAAGATTTGTTGTTGTTGATCTTCGCTTAATAAAACCATGTTGACATGGAGAAATAACCGATCTACAAAGGTGCTGTAAATGAGGGGTGATAATATTTTCAAATAATTTTGGGATGGCCGACAACTTAGAGATTCCTCTATAATTGCTGGCATCCAATTTGCTACCTTTTTTGTGGAGAGGAATAATAAACGATTCCTTCCAAATAATGGGAAAGTGGGAGGTTTCTAAGGACAAGGTAAACAATTTCAGAAGGGGATAGCACAGGGCGTCGGCGCAATACCTGAGCACACAGCCAGGAATTCCGTCGGGACCTGGCGAATAAACTGGCTTGACACGATGAAGATCTAAAAGGAGAGAGCTTTCGTTTAGGCTGGGACTTAAGTTTGATTTGGGTATGTCGTAGGAATAGGTCTGGTGTAGATACGAAGAGCTAGAATAGGTTGTTTGAAAAAACTGCGAAAATAGATCGGCTATTGCCTGATCATTATTTGCGGTAGTATTTTCAAATGAAAGCGAGGAAGGATTTGTTTTAGGTTTACGTTTAGTGTTAACGAAATTATAAAACTGTTTTGGGTCCTGTGAGAACTGGGCCCTACAACGAGTTAAATAGTTTTTATAACACTGCGCGTTCAGCACGGTAAAGTTTGACCGAGCTGATAAATAAAATGAAAGGGCAGATTGAGAACCGGTAATTTTGAATTTAGCATACAGTCTAGATTTTTTATTTTTAAGTCGGCTCAACTCTTTAGTAAACCACGGCGGTTTATTCGAGCTTGGCGGATAATATAACGGAACACATTCAGTAAAAAATGAATTCATGGCGCTGTAAAAAATATCCACGGCAACTGCCATGTCAGTGCACATGTATAGATCGGACCAATTGAACTCGCTTATAAAATTATTCAGCCGTTCAAAGTCCGTTTTGCGAAAACATAGGACTTTATTGGCTGGACGATCAGAAATATTCTGTACGTCACACCCAATATCAAGAGTCACATCGAAAGTTGGATGATAAGGATCTTCGGGCTGCGTCAGAGGCGCCACCCTTGCTAAACTGACTCTCGCAGGATCAGAGACGAAGCAAAGATCGAGCAAGCGCTGTAAGGAATTTCGAACATGGTTGACTTGAGACAGCGAAATGTCAAACAAGCCAGCGATAAAGTCATGTTGTGTAGGTGTATGGAGAGTATTGGTGGAATTATTTGAGCACCAAATAGCACCAGGGATATTAAAATCTCCTAGAACTACCAACTGGTCTCTATCCAAAAGTCTACTGGAAACCATCTGAATAGCGGAAAGGTGATTCCAATAAATAGGAAGTTCCGACAGTGGAGGTATGTAGGAACAGGTAATAAAAATTGAGCTACCTTTGATAGATAGCTTCACACAGAGGAATTCAACATCGTTGCATTCCTCGAAGGTTAATAATTCTGACGTGAGTGAGGAGTCCACCGCTATAAGAACTCCACCCCCGCGTCTGATAGGGCGATCTAGCCGATATACTGTGAACACAGCTGGAAAAACTTCGGAGCTCAGAATCTCCGGCTTTAACCAGGTTTCTGTGAGCACAATAACCTGAGATACAAACGAAAGGCTATCAGAATACAAGTTAGGAAGCTTACTACGTAAGCCTCTTGCATTCTGATAGGAAATACCTAGGGAGTGGGTTAGTTTTTTGGATCGGGATTGGAAGACGTAGAAGGCGCAGTGGTATGATCAGGCCTGGGTAGAGTTATTCCTACAGGCCGCTTTTTCTCTCTATTTCAAGAACGCAAACTACAACAAGAAGTTTTTCCATCCGTGTGACGTGAAAAGTGCATAAGTTTGTTCAAATTAGTTTAAGTCTAATTTATTAGCCAAACAAATAAAGCCATGTCGTTTGCGGAAAAGATAACGAGTTTGCTGGCACGGCCGAACCAACAAGATCCAGTCGGACCGGAGCAGCCCTGGTACCTTAAATATGGCAGTAGATTGCTGGGCATTGTGGCCGCCTTCTTTGCCATACTCTTCGGCCTGTGGAATGTTCTGTCCATTATCACACTCAGTGTGTCATGTCTGGTGGCGGGCATTATACAAATGGTGGCAGGGTTTGTCGTGATGGTCCTGGAGGCGCCCTGCTGCTTTGTCTGCATCGAGCAGGTGAACGGGATCGCGGATAAGGTAGACTCCAAGCCCATGTACTTCCGGGCTGGACTCTACATTGCCATGGCCACTCCGCCCATCTTCATGTGCTTTGGATTGGCCAGCTTATTCGGCAGTGGTCTAATCTTTGCCACCGGCGTGGTCTACGGAATGATGGCGTTAGGCAAAAAAGCTTCTCGGGAGGACATGGCCGCCGCTGCCACATCGCCCACACAGATGGCCGGCAGTCAGGCGGGCGGGCAGATGCAGATGGGCGGCGATCAGCATATCACACTCATGGAAGATCCCGACGTTTGGCGCCCCACATAAATGCCTAGCCGAGCGATTAGTAACTGCCAAAACCACAACAACTCTCACACTCCAGATACAGATACAGATACTCAGATACTACACACACACCCACACCACTAGAAATGCAAAAGATGCAGCAAACAAATATTTTACGACGCCTAGTTTTTAGTGTTCGTTCCAAGGAATAATGTGTAACTAGGAGAAGAGTCATCCTTAGGCGTTTGTAGGAAAGCATCAGAGATCAGAAATAGTATACAGAACACCCCACCAATTACAAAGAAAAATTAAAAAACTAAATTCTCATTATTGTTGAAAGAAAACAAAAAGACAGCGAGAGAGAGAAAGTGTTAGTAATCAACGTGTTTTTTGGGCCAATGCATTTTCGTCATTCGTCCCCCTTTTGCATGCAGGTCATTCGTGTATTCCAATTTTTTAATGTCTTTCGTCGAGCGGTTGGTGTTGTTGAAAACTACAGTTAAATATATATAAATATATTATATGCCTAGAGAAATACTGATACGAAAATAACGTAATACACATGCCGGACTCAGCAGCAAGCATATATTTTTAGTGAGAAACTATATTTGAAAGCTAACCGAATGCAAGAAGAACCTATATGAGTAACCACAGCTTCCACAGACACACACACACATAGACATTCACACTCCACTAGCTAACACACAAAGCTAAGGGTACTAAAAAGCAAATAAGATAAATATGAAGAACCTAGAGCAATATGTACAACTCAGAAAGTATTAACTTTATATGCTTTGCTTCAATGTAAACCATACAATTAAATGTTAAACGTTGTTTGAGAATTGATTTTGCTCTCAGGATAGTCACAAATTGAAATTGAACATAATCAAGCATTATATCAGAGTAAATATAGAATTCAGATATACAACAAGTTGAGGTCTTAACAGTTCTATATTTTTTTAAATGTTGTAATACAAGAAATGATTTCAATTATCGTTAAAATTATTTGGTTCCTTTCACTCGAGCTTCTTATAATTTCTCATTCGCTAAAAATATATACTTTTTATTATTTTTTTTGTCATACGCCTAAGTTATGTTTAAGTATTTATTCCAAAAGGTTTTTACTTTGAAAGTCTGAAAGAAAATCATATTTGAGATATGTATTTTATCTTCCTTCAACAAAAGCATTCCAAGCTCTGTTTTATAATTTATTGCATTATTTATTTGTCTTAAGCTTAAGTACACATTATTTCAAGAATACTCGCATAAACTTGTTACTAAATAGCCTTCGCCAGCAACTGAGAATCTCACCTGAAGTGTAAACTATAATGAAATCAAATAAATTTTGTTGAAATTTGTTAATCGATGAACGCAACACTAAAAATGAAATCATGTAAAATATTTTGTTTACCATGGACTAAGCATAATTCGATAAAATATCAAAGACTTTGTAAATGCCACATGAAGAAAAACCAGACAAAAATAACAGAACCGTTCAAAAACCAAGTACAACCAACGACGGCCAACAAATATACGATTTGCGTTAAGAACATCTCGTTAACGACTTTGCTGCGTCGCCGAGATCACGAAAGAGCATCGGCTGAGGATATGAGGGCAGCTGCTGCTCAACAAACCTATGGAGGCAATACGGCCGCTCAGACCACCAACGATCGAGCGGGCATTGTGAACAATGCCCAGCCCTTCTCCTTCACCGGCGCCGTGGGCACGGATAGCAATGTGTGATCCAGAAAATCAAGACAAATCGTTGGGAAAGGTGTGCCGTGAGAAAACAAGACTCAAAACGCAACATTTAAAGGGCAAACCTAAACCAGGAGAACACACACATAAACACTTCAGCGGGCAGTCTAAAACATAATCATGTGCAATTCGTGTAATTTTGTTCACTTATTAACATTGTTCAGCTCTGATCTCTCTCTAGAGCAGTCCAAATCCAGTCCAGACATCAATCCCTTTTAAGCAGAAAGCAAAACGTATTCACACACAAATTCATATTAAATGTTTGTAAATGTATTCACACACAAATTCATATTAAATGTTTGTAAATGTATGGCCGTCAGCCGATAGGGTGCACAGGGGGATCAACGGATGACTGTGTCATCTGCCGTAACTGTGTACACCATCGGTAGTGCGACTATACTCTCCAAGCGAGGGCGGCTGGAAGCAGGTCCCCAGTCGAGGCTCGACCGGGGATGCTGACCAATTGTAGTCGGGCGGACTTAGGCAGTCTTTAATCAAGCCTCCCCTCAAGTCAGGTGTGTGATGCGACCCGTGCACACTGACTTCCAGGTTCGCAGCTGAGGGGTAATTCCAAGCTGTGTCTGCACGGAGCCTTCCCAGGGCCAGGCAACCCTGGGTCGTAAGTGGCCTTGCCGCAGTTTTGGGGCGAAGCTGCGGTCGACCTCTTTTCAAAGCCCCAAACCCCCTCTGGCCCGCTGCGCTTGCCAGGTCGAGCAAAGCGGGCGATCATGACATGCTATGACTTCTACAAACCGAGCTTCGGAACTCCTGGGAGAGGATAAACCCCAAAAACTGTCAACGAAGGACGAGAAGGAGATGCAGAGGCCGAGACTGGTCGCTGCATCTCACATTGTATCGGAGACCGACGAAGAAGCGTCGCAATCCGAGGGGAGAGCGAGTAGCACTCCCCAACCGAAACACACAGGTGGGGCTCAGCTGAGCACCACCTCAGAGATTACGAAATTGTCTCACCATCAGAGACGAGCGAGGGTTAACAGAGCCCGCTTCGTTCTCGGCAAGATAGCCAAGAACGAGGCTGAGGGCAAAACCGACCCTCGGGATGCCGAGGACAAAGCCAAATTCCTTGCGGAGATCGCGGAATACGAGAACTACAAAGCGGCAAACCCGGCGGCGTTCCAGCCCTCGAAGGCGAAGCGAATTCGCTCACAGGAAGTGAGCGAAAGCGCGCCTAAGAGAGCGAAGGACCCACAGGGCAAGCCGCGTGCGACGAACTTTGTCAGCCAGGCAAAGAAGTTCAGCGAGGTGGCCAGAGACAGTCTGGCTATGGCACTGGTGGACGAGCTTCATGACGACGGTCGCCTGCTGTCGGAGAAGTGGGAGGAGATTGAGGCCAAGTTGGCCGACATGGTGACCGACAGGTTGGTCAGCATGCCGACCGGCCCCATCCCCTCCTTCGACTCCTCAGACGTGGTCAGAGGGCACCGGGTCATCAGGTGCGACGACGGGTTCTCCCGAAGCTTCCTGGCGGAGTGTGTGGCAAAGATTAGCGACACATGGGCTGGCCTTAAGATTAGGCTAGTCCACGCCAGGGAGATCCCAAGGAGACCCAGAGCTCGCATCTGGTTACCTAAGGGCCAAACTGACCATGCAAGGGTGATCGCCTGTCTGAAGGCCCAGAACCCAGATATCCATACAGAGGACTGGACCATCCTCAGAGCAGAGCAGGAGATGAAGGCGAGTCAGCCTTTCCTCCTGCTGATCAACCAACGCTGTCTGCCCCAGCTGGAGGCAATGGACCACAAGGTCAGGTACGGCATCAGGAAGGCCAAGATCAAGGTCTTCTTGGCCGAGCCGGACGAGATTCTGGAGGAGGTCGATGACACCAACAAATTGTTGGACGACATGGTCATCGACGACAAATCTCCCGACGCCACCCCCACCAACATCGATGTCGAGAATCGTGCAGATTAACCTGAAGCGCAGCTCGCACGCTTCAGCTAATCTCACGATCCTTCTAAGGGAGAAGGATATCGACATCGGTCTGATACAGGAGCCTTGGACCAGGGACGGGCAAGTCGCTGGACTGAGAATCCAAGGATACACACTACTGTGCGCAAACTCGAATGGTAGGTCGAGAGCTTGCATTGTAATTAAGAATCACTTTAATGCTTTTCTCTGTCCCAACCTCAGCACACCTGACCTAGCAGTGGCCAGATTCGTGGCGGCGGATGGGAGCGGAGTCATCGTAACATCGGCGTACATGGCCCATGACGAGCCGGCCCCGCCTGAGCCGGTAGTCAAGCTGCTGCAATGGGCGGAAGTGACGAAGACGACCCTGGTGCTCGGGTGTGATGCGAACGCAAGACACACGCTCTGGGGGAGTTCGGAGACTAACGAAAGAGGTGAGTCACTCTTTGATAATATTATCTGTAGAGACGTAACAATATGTAATAAGGGCAATACGCCGACCTTCATCTTTCCGAGTACGGAAAATTTTCAAGGTTGGGAAGAGGTGTTAGACCTCACATTACATATAGAGCAGGACAATTACAGGGTCGAGAACTGGAGGGTATCGACAGAACACTCCTTCTCAGACCATAGGTATATTTTCTTTGAATTAACGACACCAGTTAAGAAACAGGTGCCAAGAAGGAACCCCCATAAGACGGATTGGAACAATTTCAGTGAGATTGTCCGATCTAAAGTTAACGGCAGAAGGATCAAGACCATATCCACTGCAAAGGCACTCGACAAGGAAGTCGAGGGCCTAACTAACATTCTGAACAACGCCTTCAAAGAGACTTGTAAGCTAACATTCTCGAAGAGGCAATACCCACCGTGGTGGACAAAGGAATTAAGCGAGCTCAGGAAGAGCGCGAGAAAGGCCTTTAACCACAGCTATGTAACCCGGGACTGGGGAACATACAAAGAAGCACAAAAATTTACAAGAAGGCAGTATACAAGGCCAAGAAAGAGTCCTGGCAGAAATACTGCGAGTCACTGGAAGGCATAAAGGACACGGCGAGAGTAAGCAAAATCCTCGCCAAGGGGCACATAAGCCCTACCTTGATCAACAGAGCAGACGGCTCTGCTACGTCGACAATTGAGGAGTCACTAGAGCTACTAGTTGACACCCACTTCCCAGGAAACCTAAGAGTGATCTCGGAACCCGAGGGGGGAACGAACTCTCAAATGGATACACCTACGAAAGACATCATTACCACGGAGCGAATTCAGTGGGCAATAGATTCTTTCGATAAATTTAAAAGCCCGGGCCCAGACGGCTTAATACCGGCAATGCTACAATCAGCCAAGGATAGCATCTGCAAATGGCTAAAAGCCATTTACGAAGCATGTTTAAGACTGACGCACATCCCACTGTTGTGGAGAGAGGCTAAAGTCATTTTCATACCCAAACCGGGCAGAAGGGGGCATATCCTAGCAAAGGATTATAGACCGATAAGTCTCACCTCCTTCGCCCTGAAGACACTAGAGAGACTGCTGGACGTCCACATCCGAGAATCTCTAGAAGGACATCAACTCTCGGACGCGCAGCATGCGTACCGCAGAGGAAAATCAACGGAAACAGCGCTACACGTAGTTGTACATCATGTCGAGAAGACATTACAACACAAACAATATACGATGGCAGCCTTCTTAGACATAGAAGGCGCGTTCAATAACGTGAACCCCGACTCTATCCTGGACTCCCTCAACTTGCTAGGTATTGAGAGAGGCATCAGAGAGTGGATCGGAGTCATGCTAAAGAGCAGGACGATCACAGCCGAACTGAGTGGCACTCACCTCACACGGACTGTGAAGAGAGGCACACCTCAGGGCGGGGTACTATCGCCCCTACTCTGGCTCACAAATATGAACGCCATATTGACAGACCTCAATACGGGTGGAGTCAAAGCAGTTGCCTACGCGGACGACGTAGTACTGCTCGTTTCAGGACCATACCCTGACGTTATTAGCGAAATAATGACGGGTGCGCTAGGTCGACTAAACAAATGGGCAAAAACCTGCGGACTAGGTATCAACCCCACTAAAACGGAACTTATGCTCTTCACGCGAAGAACTAAGATACCACCCTTCAACATGCCCAGTATTAATGGCATGGAGCTGAAACTATCGGAGCGAGCGAAGTATCTAGGAGTTATCCTGGATAAAAAGCTCTTATGGAAAGATAACATTGCAGAAAGAGTAAGGAAAGCAAGCATCGCATTCTACTCCTGCAGGAAAATGTTTGGAAACAAATGGGGACTGCACCCAAAGATAATTTTATGGCTCTACACTGCAGTGGTAAGACCAATTCTTACATACGGAGCCCTAGTATGGTGGCCGGCACTAACTAGGGCTTACAACAGAACGAAGCTGACACGGATGCAACGGGCAGCGAGTGCGGGGGCAGTGGGTGCAATGCGCTCATGCCCCGCGGCTGCTCTCAACGCCATCCTGCATATAATGCCGATAGAGCTGTTCGTGAAGGACACTGCGGCACAGAGCGCAGTAAGACTGAAGGCGAGCAATTGCTGGAGGGACTACGGCGCCGGGCACGGCAAGATCCTTGCAAACAGTGGCATTAACACAGACGTTAAGACCGACTACATGATCGCGGAAATGAAATTCGGGAATGCATTCTCGACATCATACCCATCAAGGGAAGACTGGAGTAGGGGCAGAGTGGTAGAGGAGAACGAGGTGTCCCTCTACACCGATGGCTCAAAAATGAGCTGCGGCGTAGGGGCTGGGATCTTCGCTGAAAATTGGAGAATTGAACAGGCCTTCAATCTCTCTAACTCAGCGACGGTCTTTCAGGCTGAGTTACTAGCCATAAGGGAAGCAGTCGAACTTTCCTTAAGGCAGGACCTCAGGGGCAATAGAGTTCGAATCTACTCGGATAGCCAAGCGGCTATAAAATCCCTATCTGCCGTGAAAACGAATTCACGACTTGTGGCAGAATGCAAGAAGGCCCTTAATAGACTTGCCGACAAAAATAAGGTACAAGTAACTTGGGTACCGGGACACAACGAGATCCCAGGAAATGAGAAGGCGGACGAACTAGCCCGTGCAGGCTCGGCAGGGCTAAGTTCTGACTTCGAATTACCGATCTCCCTAAACGCGATCCAGACGAGGATCCATGACCACTTTAGGCAGATAGCCAA